AGACATACAGAAAATACTCTGTTCTATTCTTTTAGAACTATAATTAATTTTATCATCTTGCTTACTGCTATATAAACATCATTTATCATGGCAACATTTGTCACTCACTCGTAGCAGGTCACAACTTCCATAAATAGATGAGAGAGAGAGAGAACTTATTTGAATAGCTGGGGGTTTTTTCTGAGAAAGTTACGTTTTTATAAGTCCTTCCAATGACAGTCTGTTCATGCCGATTAGAAGAATGTTGTATGGGAAAAGCAGTCTTTATTCACAACAGTAATCCTCAAACTATTTTATTCTGTCTATATTAAGGCTTAGTCCGTCTATTTACAGTATTGAGTACTTTTATCCTATTCGCACCCATATCCAAATCGTATTTTTTGGCCCTTCTTAGATATTTTAATGGTCATCTGTAGCTTGAATCTAGAGAAATTGAACGGTTAATCTTCTTTCTCACTGCGTTCTATATTACGCTGTCGCAGTAGGGATAACATTTCATTCCATTCTCAAGCATTTTTCGCTGAACAAAGATTTTGCTCAGAAAATCCAATAATTATTTGATTGCACAAATACGGCAAATTTAATCAAATCTTTGCTTCGTCGAAAAAACTTTTTGTTGCGGTGCAACGTTGAAATTAGAATCAAATTTCTCATTCTGCGCGCATAACCTGTACTGGTATGTGAATGGTTTTCTCAACATTGGCATCAGAAGATCACTCATTTATAACTACTCGATAGTATATAACACTGGGATTTCAAAGGTGTATTTCTTTTTTGAGAGGGAATCTCTTTGCGCGCTGCAGCACGATGAGCAAGATTGTGTTGGAGATTCGAGTACTTTTACTGGACACAGCCTTTCTCTCAGAATTCAATAAGCATTCGATAGCACGAATCTCAGCAATTTCAATAACTTTCTTGATTCTCAAGGAACACTTCTGAATGCGTTGTTGCGGCTAAGAAAATATTGATTTCATACTCGGCCCGTATGGCACGCTACTTGCGGTCGACAAGATGCCAAATGAGAAGCTCAATATCCTTTGGCTTTGATAATGTTCTTAGAGAGCAAGCATGACATTGAATTTAGTGACATTTGAGGTTTTTGATTATGGGTGCAAATTATGGAAAAGTACGATGATCTGAATTTCGACGTTGATATGCATAAAAGTTGGTGTGCATTGCTATCCCAAGAATGAAGCGATCACATTGGAAAACAAGAATTTTCAACGAAAAATGGGTGTTGTTTTTATTAGAATTACGTTCACAGGAGTCCGAAAAAACTCTAGGCTTTGACCAGTTTTATGGTATGCGTTACGTATTCGCCTTTAATCTGTAGCTTCGTTTGAAATGATTGAATGCACATCTGACTTTTAAAAAAACTACCGCCGGCCTGCTGATACATTGATTCAGTGCTGCTCATGCTTCAGCAGAAATATGACACAAGATACCGATCGCGTAAGAATGGAGAGCATGGTGAGCCACGATTGCGAATAGAAACAAAGACTTTGTGTACGACACAGAGCGCCTCTAACACTGCCGTACGCGTTCTTGAACAGAAAGATTTTTTTGTGTTAGCGGACCTTGTATGAAGGTCTACTCACAAATTAGGTTCAGTATTGAATTTTCCAGTCTTAGAGCTGTTGAATGATTGCTAATAGTCTAACGAAAAAGCTCTATCGAGTGAAAAAGGAAATTAAATGCGAACACATTCCACGCAATACGACTGCTTTGCATTCAGTTCGCAAGGATCAGTGGGCTTTTTCAAAAAAGCTTAGTTGTTCTTCTACTGAAAAAACGCTTTTCTGTGCATTACGGTAATCCTCTATGCAGTCAATTCAAAATTGCTTCTATAAAATACCAACGCCGTGTGTTTCAAATAATTGCACTGCAACTGCAGAACATCACAGTTTATTGTTAGGTAGAACGTACGTTAATGCCGAATCCGAAACCAAGCCCAGTGCTAGAACCGGCTTTTCTCAAGCTATCCAACGCCTTCAGAAATGTGAATAAGTAAAAAGAATCAAGTGTAAACAGATATTATGAAACAGGTGAAAATGTGCTCATTTTCGGAGAGATGGACTTCTCCTTTGTTCAAATCAATTAGCTTCGTGACACACAGACGATATTTATACTGAAAAAGCCGTAACAACTTTCACAGTAATCTCTTTGATGATATGCCCTGATTGGATGGTAATAATGCCTTCTTAAAACCTAGATTCACCATCTAATCTCAAATTTTCCACATCTTGTGCAGGTGTCATAGAAACTCCTGGCCACACGAAATGACTTGCAGATCTATATGATTCAAACGCTTACCAGGCCGTTAATATCTGAACACTAACGTGGTCCATTGTGTCAGTCACGAAAAATATACTCGCGTAAGGATTATTGATCGACACGTAAGTAGTCAACTTGACGCTCCAATGCGACAACCTGCCCCATTCCACCTCTGAAGTTATCCGTAAATTTTCTGGGAAGGCGGCTTCATTTCGTCGGCTACTCCAGCGTCAGGTTAGTTCTTATTTCTTTTTGCGACTACTTATATAAACAATTTTCTACCATACCGTTTCGTTAGTCGGTTTTCTTGCCTTTTTGATCACTTTCTGCACCCAGTTTTCGAATTGAGAGGTGAGTTAACAAATCCAGTGCGGCTGGCACTTTCTTGATTTTTTTTCCTCACATATTTTCAATCCTTCAAAGACAAAGAACAGCACTTTTTCCGCACTTTTCAGTTTTAAGAGTCAATCGAATACTTGAATCGCGAGGAGTTCTATGGCATACTTTAGTTCTGGAATGCTCTTCTCAAAGCGTTGAAACTATTCAATAAGAAGATTAGGCTTTGCACTTGGCGTATTTCTTATCGTTTAAGATGTGTAAACGGCTGTGAATCAATTGAGCAACGCAATTTGCATGTTGTGGGAGATTTTTGTTGTTAATCCCTCGTCAACCACGCGACGCGTCTTTACATGGCTGGCGCCGCGCGTGCGGCTCGCAGTTTGTTTATCACGGGCTGTAGTGCAAATAAGTAAATTACCAAGTATTCCGAGGTCCAGAAGAATTATATCTATGTATGCGTTCAGTCGCGATGGTCAAGGCGTTAAGTCACTCTAGCTAGTTTTGTTATCTGAGGTTTCAATCACTGGATTGCTGTTATAGTATTTATCATTTCACCTCTCAGACCTGTACTGCTGCCGATTTTGAAGTGATAGGCTCATCGTTGAACAAGAGCATGATCAGTACCTTCATATTCAAATGTTTCTTGAGACCTCGCTCAAAGCAGTGTATAATCTAAAATTATACTTTGCGCCTTTCATGAGGTTTGTTCTTCTATTTATAAAGGGCTAGACACATGCTTCGGCTTTTTAGCCCACCATGATGATCTGTCGTCTGAGATTTTCTTCATATATTGTTATAGTTGATATCAAACCTCGTCGAGTGCATGTGGCCAAGATTCTGGGAACAAATTTGGGCCGCTGTGACATGAATGAGATCAACCTTCCGACGGACTGGAAACTTGACAAACAGCCCACTTCGGCAAATCTCAGCAATCCATTACGTAATTCCCAAGACTGATTATCGATGTCCGCATAGCTGGTATGAATTACTAGTTCATTCTGATAAGCAGTTCCGAGGTGTTAGTAACAGTATTCATCAAATATCGGTAGTAGCTGATTTTTCTTTGGTCTCCCGCATACTTTCCGAAACGGTTTTCGTTTGATGAATTCGAAGCGAGTTGATGTTTCACGCAGGGAATAACTTGAAAATGTTCCAGCAAAATGTTTCTCACTAGTCAAGGAGCCCTTTGACTAAGAAATAGTATTATCCCAGCTCGACAAACAATAAATTTCTACCTTCGCTTTGTGAAACATCAAATCGTTCCGGCTTCATCAAACGAAAACACCTTCACGAATTATGTGAACTACCCAAGGAGAGTCAGCGAACACTGATATTCAACAGATACTGTAAGCAAAACCTCGGAACTGCTTATCAGCAGAAACTAGTGTTAGTTGAACTTCTTTTCTCCTTCTTTTCTCGATGCTGCGCCGTTTAGGAAGTTGAATTTATTCTTAGAACACCTTCTTATTTAAATGAAAAAATGTAGAATTTGTCATTATTTTACGTAGCGTCAGGCAGAGAGATTCTTGTTAAAACTGTTGTGTTCTCGTCTTTTTCTCTTTGCGGGTGATTACAACATATTGCTCAGCTTAAATCGAAACTGCAGCAAGAAATATTCTGTTTATTCGTACAACTACTTTAGAAATGATAGATGGAGGTTTTTCTATAGCTTGAAAACAACATGTCTTGATTTTTTAAGGAATGGAGAAAAAAACTTTGAATAGACAAGGAAGATCGCTTTTTTGACACGGCACTCAAAATCGTTGTGTGCAGCGCGAAGAGAAGTGTTGTTCGCGGCATTTACTCGATGTTTTCTCTTTTCGAGAGAAGTCTTCGATTTTTTGCAATATTCTGCTCTGCAAACATTTTCTCTGAACAACTTTATGTTTTTAGATGTATATCTCCTAGTGTAGAAAGTACCACTTCTTGCTTTAAGGATCTTTTTGAATACCAAATCGAGTTTTCGAATTTCTGTTTTCAAACTAACAAGTAAGTATCAAGATTAAAAAGTGATTTTTTATTGAACCGCTTCTAGCAGTGTTGTGATATTTTGAATAGATTGCCACTGATGTAGAGTGATGTGCAAAATACTACGATGCCCATTTTGCACATCGCTCTTTCTACGTTGCAGCGCATATATCTGTCAGCCGCCAGCCGTCAACGGCCTCAAGTTTTGCACATCACTCTGCATCAGTAGGTATCTATTTGAAATATGATAACACCGCCAGAAGCTGATGAATAAAAAATTATGTTTGATCTTCATTGCCCAATATCTGTCGGCGGTTGACTGGGTTTAAAGTCGAGACCGATTACCCGGGACAGGAAGTTGCGGCTGGCGGCTGACAGATAGATGCGCTGTAACGTAGAATGAGCGATGTGCAAAATGGGCGTTAGTAGTGTAACAGATAGAGCATACATTCCCGCAAAGAGTGAGGTGCGGGTTCTAGTCCTGCCTGACGCGAACGTTTTGCACATCACTCTCTATCAGTGGGTAAGTGCTAGGATTCTTCTGTAAGCTATCCATGCATACTAGCGAATTTAAAAATGCGCGCAAAAAGTGAGACGTGATCTTTTTTGGCTGCTAGAGGTTTATATAAGTATATTTATTTGGCCAACGTTTCGATGTCTTCATCTTCTTCGACCGATGAGTCGCCTATTGCACGCAGTTTTTTGTCCTCGTTACGGTCTTCGTTTTCGTTGTCGTTCAAATCGAATCGTTTTCCATGTAGTACCGCTCGAATGACGCATGTCATCGTTGTCATTAGTTTTACAAAGAAATTAGTGGTAAATCAAAAAATCGACTTCCATTCTGATATGATAATGGATATATGATAACATGATCACAACGCCGTCAGAATAACGGTAAAACAAAAATTCTTGTGGAAGCCGAAGAGTTCTAGTAAGTTTACGTAAATAAATTCATACTCCTAATATTGGTTAGTTTTCTCAGTACTCTTCATCAAAGGCCTCAATGTCTTCAAAGTTCTTTGTGTTTGGCCTCTAGGCCCGATCGTTCAACACCACCATTGAACAGCATGGATTAGCGCTAGCGATAAACAAATCCGGCGTCAATACTAAACCAATAGGGAAGCTTATATTCCACACATTCTAAAGTGGGCGCTGTAATGTTGTGTGTAATCACATTAGAGTAGCTGGGGTTGTGTCTGTGGAAGCCATAGGTTTAAAAAAAGTGGCTTCATAAATCACCAGTGTATTTAATTTATAGTTAGTGTGATAGTTTACTGTTTGCCTTAATGTTTGATGCATGGAACATCGCAGCTACACCTACAAAAACTATAAGTCTTATGTGTCGTTTTGACAACGTACGTTCAATCAAGAGCGAATGTGGCGCGGTAACTAGAGGTGTTCTGCCTCGCACACAGAATCGTTCTTTCGATGTTGGGCTTAAGGGTCACCAAGCCATTCATCCGCCCGCGATCGGGAAGTTGATTCAGTTAGTGAGCACAACTCTGTCTGTGCTGTACTCGTGATTTTGTGTGGTTACATATCTATTCCTGATGTCTTCATCATTCGCTATTTTTGTTCCATTGGAAAATATCTAGATTTCATTCTCTTGGTATCCAAGATTTTCCTTTTTTCAGATAACATCCAGTGACTCTTATGGAACACGAAATTGAGTGATGACAACAGGATACAAAAAATGGCACGCACGAAACGCAGGTGAATGTTTTAATCACTCGCTGCTGGTGAGAATAATTTTGATCCTCAGATTGCTAGGTCTTTTTTCGCCGATCAAATCTTTATATCTGGAATCTGAGGAATTAATTGAAAGCCTAACTCTCGGTGATTTGCTCATTTTTGAAAAACGTCTTTGTGGCACGCTCTAGCACCATAAATAAGATTATCATTTACACACAATTTCCCTCAAGTGCTTAGCTGCAGTCTGCGAATCGCTTTTCATTGGGCTTTGCTAAGTTTATTCGATAGCCCAAATTTTGGCAAGTTCGATATCTGAACTGCGTCTCCAAATGGTCTTTATAGCACACCGTGAAGGCCGTAATAAAATAAGGTTTTACATTCGGGGTTTCTTTGCACACAGTAGTTATAGGGATTGGACTGTTAGTAATCGTTCGATAGCATAATATCTAGCGATCCTAACCTTGTGCTTGTTTTTTGGAAAGATCGTTTCTCTGCAACACATCAGGGAAAAATGAGATGATTTACATACGCGAGCATGTGTTTTTGGCGAATCTATGGGGTGGGGGAGTGAAGGTTGGGGCGGAGCGAGGTGCAGCGGGAATACCACGCATACAATAATTTATCGATCGAGGACTCCTGCAGAGAGTCATCACGAAAGTGTGGCTTGGGTATTTGATCAGAAATTGTTTCTCCGCTTTGAAAGAAGCTCTAGATTGAATATCTGACTCTGGTACTAAAAGGTTTTCTGAACACGTTTATGTGCTTTTCGTGATTCCAGCGAAGCAGTTGCCGAATTGCAAGGCCGACGTAAAACACAATTTTTGGTTTTCTTCTTTTAGTTGACAACAAATGAATGTTCGATCCCATTTGCTGGGCAGCAATTTTTCATAGGAGCTCTAGTAATCATTCGAAGGTTTGAATCTCTTTTGAGAGCCATTCCTGGCCGGTTTTCAAGGCACCTTTTCTTGAAGTTGTAAAATCTAAAATTAAATTATGTTTCACACCCACTGCGCCTTCATTTTTATCGCGCGTATAATTCGCTGGAAGCGCGAAGAGGATATGAACATGTAGAGAAAATTTCGTAGCGTTTGAGTCAATCCTTTTATCTGGAGTTTCCTTCAAAGCGGAGAAAAAATCCTCAGTCTAATAACAAGTTGCATCTCAATGCTTAACACTTCAGGCCATCAATCGGTGCCTCTCCCCGTAAAGCGCAAATTAGCCGGTAAACAAACTCGCTGAATCTGTAAGGACTAGATTTTATTTTACCTGCCACATTGAACTGAAGCGGCCTTCTCAAAAATAAGCATAGCGTTGCAATCACTAAAACTTAAGGTATCGAATGATTCCTAGTAGTTTAAAGAATGAGCTCTGTCCGGTGAGCTATCCAATGATTACTAATAGTCTAAAGAATAAGCTTTATGAAACACAGTATCTTTTCTTTCTGTTACATTGTTATCAAAATAGCTTTTTTCAAAAAGCAAAGATATTCTTGCGTTCATTGAGATTTGAACTATCAAAAGAGTATTAACACTCTAAGGAAGCAGTTTTGTTCAGTTGCGAAATGTAAGCGAGGTAAGAAGAAACGCGCTCTCGTGTGAAATTTAACTTTGTTTTAGATTTCAAACGCTATGAAAGGGTAATTTGAGAAACCAGCCACTTACTACCCTAGCAAGAAATCTAAGCTTCCGAATGATTCCTAACACTTTTACCAGAAATTCGTTCATCGAGTGAAATCAAACAACTATCTACCGCCGCCTAATAAAAAAGATAAAAAATATCTTTTGAAAGGCGAAGATTGCGCTCCACTTGCGATCTCGATTTTTTTGCATGACTTCATTCTTAATTTTTTGTTTCATAAGTCACACATTTTTTTGCATTGTGCGAATCCCATACTTTTTACATCTAACTCTTTTCCTCGCGTTCATCGCTTGCTGGAAGATTTTTTTACGATTGCCGTGCAACACTGGTTAAGCAAATTTCTCTGCAATTTTAGGATAGTATGGCTGGAGCATTTCGTAATGCATCCGTTATCGATTGACGCGGGTTTCTGGGGAGAAAAGGGGATTGTCCCTTGTCCAATCGTGCGAAGCATCACTAGCCACTAGTCCATTTGCCCCCTCGTACCACCATCGCATTCAAATGAAATCCATGACATTGAATTAGACTCGAGTAAATGAGTGCTGGTCAACTTCATGATCAAAAACTAAAATGTTTACCTGAAGATGCAGGTTTAGCAGGTTGCTCTTTTACTCTAAAGACTGTTTCGATTCTGATTTCGCCTATACCGCTCGTACTCTTGCATCACTACGGAAGAAACGAATCGTTTGTCCAGCTAACGCAATTCTTTATCATAGTGACGGAGCTTCCATAACTAGTGGGGAACATTTTGTCCGCGCATTTTGAGGTAATTCCCAAGACTAATTATCGAACAACTCCGGCATAGTTGGAATAGACCACTTGTTTCGTCTGATGAGCAGTTCCGAAGTGTTAATAAGAGTATTTATTGAAGTTCAATAATTCTAGACTCTCCTTTGGTCGCTCGCATGATTCGTGAAACCGTTTTCGTTTGATGAAATTCTTAACGGCATGATGTTTCAAGCAGTGACGGTCAAAATGAATAGTTTGTTTAACTATGACAATCTTTTGATTTAGTAACAGGGCTTCCTTGACTAGTCGGAAATATTTTGTTGGAACAGTTCCTTCTTGAAGTAGTTCCTTGTGTGGAACATCAAGCCTCCTTCTTGAAGTAGTTTCCTGTGTGGAACATCAAGCCGTTCCAAATTTTATTAGGCGAAAACGGATGTGCGAATTATGCGGGCGACCAAAAGAGTGTCAGCGATTACTGTTATTCAATAAATACTCTCATTAGCTCTTTGGAACTGCTTATAAGAAGAAATTAGTGGGTTATCCATAATGTACATGGTCAATATAGTGGGTTTACATAGCTGACGCTAATTGCGCAGCTGTTATACTGTATACGGTAAAGTTTCTTCAAATTTCGTCTTTGCCGAATTCATAATAGTCTACTCCTTTTCTACGAAATAGACGAGAAATTCGAGCGCCACAAAGTAAACGTGACATGGAAATCACTCGTATTAGTTGCCATTCCATTCGTTATCGAGTACCTAAAGTAAGCACCAATGAACTGGATGAATGTGTCTCTTGAGTTCACCGCAGCTTTTTCTCAGACAAGAAAATTCGCAGAAAAGTTCAATCTTTCTACTAGATATTATTTTTTGGCATTTAGTAAGTTTCGACTACGCAATATGATGATTTCAATAAAAACCTAACTCTATCACTGTAGAGGGTATTCACACGAAACATAGATTGCCTTTTCTGTCGTTTAAGGCGCTCTTCAGTGGGCCCTTCTTCTTCCATTTACCAAGTCCATTCGTCAAACAAATAAATGAGCTTCATTATAATGTTATTTCCTTTTATTCAGATCGTTTTCCATATTTATACGCTCATAGTAAAGCGATGCATGGTTTCCGATCTCATTATAACTTCTCCACTGTTATACTTCATCGCTTTTTAAGCGCCTCCACATTTCACTGACGCTTTCAGTAAAGGTGATGTTGTTCTCAACGGAAGACGTCAGCAAATTTCTTTCAGCGTGCATGAGCATAAGTTCTATACTGCTGAATTTTGTCGGTTTCCGGGCATCATTCCTAATTCAATGACACTACCCGGAATGGCAGTGTACTTAGCACGGTCAATTATTCTATTAATTCGCATGTCATTCTGTCCACATTCGAAAGACTTCGTTATTCACTACATTGCGGACTCAAGCAGTGTCCGGGA